TAACATAATTAGTTACCTATAATTCCAGTGCAAAATATACTGTATTAATTTTATTCTAATATTTTATATAATAATTCTACAACAAATATATCTTTAAAATTATAATTATACTCATCTTAAATTTTCTAATATTTATTACATCAAAGTCAAACTCGATTTCATATATTTTAATAAAATTAATTTTTTTTTAAATAAAATTTTGACTTTAGACATTCCGTTTTTTATAGAAATATAATTAAATAATTATCAACCAAATTATGACCCACGCTCGTAGCTTATTTTTAGAAACGGTTAGTAACAAGTTGATAATCATAAGTTCGTTAAAAGTTATTTTTTAAAGTAGCGCCCTATCACTATTTTTTCACAAAAGTAGCGTGCTTTTAGCTATTTTTTAATTTTTTTATAATATTTACCTATCTCTATATCCACAAATAAAAAATAAGACTAAAATTTTAAATATATATGATTTATTTATTTTTTATTACATCTCAATAATAATAACATTTCCATACTGTCATCCCATATAGAGCATCAATCAGAAAGTATAATCTATAAATAAACAACCGTTTAACACTAGCACTTGAGGGCTATATAATATTAAATTTAAAGAAGAATCATCAAAAATTTTCATTTGATTATTTTTAGATTTAAAAAAATGCATCTAGAGGATTTTCAATATTATTATTTATTCCAAAAAAATTATCTAGTGGATGTTTTTTTTGGACCACAACTTTTTTACCATTTTAATTAAAAATAAAATATATTAAAATCTTTAATTTTTTAAAACTCAATTACCTTACTTCAAAAATAGCCAAAAATAATAATTACATTTATTTTTTATTTTCATTTTAAAATTTATAATTCTATCAAATGACTAATATATTATAAAAAATATTATATACTTTGTTTAATCTCCTATTAAACAACAATACGCAATATTATTGATTATTAAAGAAATATTGTAAATTTTACAAATACTAGGACATGCCACTCCTTTGTGGGCACGAGGCATTCCCAGCACGACCTAACTATAATATATATATCAATTATTATTTTTTGTAATTAATATATTTTAAAAAAACATTTTTTTTTATTCATCATTCATTAGCATTAAATTTCCTAATAGATTTACATTACTAGAAAAGGGCATTCTAATTGTATCATTTACATTTAAATCCTCCATATGTTGTATCAAACCCAATTGATTGAATGTTGCAGCAGACGGTCTAATATAATCTACTTCCAAATTTATCGTGGGTTGAATTGAACACGTCATTTTTGAATTTTTTTGCGGATTTGGATTCGGCAACACATGGCTTGATTAATAAATAACCTCATTTAAATATTTGTTTTTCCTTTACCGGCAGTATGAAAATGTGTGTCTCCAACCGATCTAATTAACAGCTTTGTCATTGGTTTAATATTATATATATTTTACATTGTTGTACTGGATGATCCTCAGCATTGTAATTGAAATTTGGTCATTTCTTGATCACATTAAAGACGCTCTCTTATGTACAACTTGTTGGGGATATATGGTGTTTAGTTGCAAGCCTACACACTTGGGGATTATTGTAATTTGGACATAATGAGATGTCATCTCAATCAATTTTGATTGCGTTTCCATTTATTAAACACTTTATAATTACAAATAATTAATTAAATTAGTTAATTTAAAAAAAAAATTTTTTAAATTTATAATTAAATTTTATAAAATAAAACATTAATAAAAATTTTATAAAATTAAAATAAAAATGCTAAAGTTTTTTTTTTATCCACAATATTTTAAATTCTTTAATTTATAAATGTCAAACAAAATGGCACATGTTACTATAAAAATGTTCTTTAATCAATCATATTCTTAAAGTAAAATTTATGTGTGAATTTTTTAAATCACCAACATTTTAAATTCTTTAATTTCTAGTGTCCAAAAAATAGCACATGTTACTATAAAACTTTCTCACTTGGTGATATATTGACAATAAATGATATAACATATTTATATTTGTAATCTAGTAAATATCACATACATTAATGTTATAATCTATGCAAGATTTATAAATTATAGGTTAATCATATTGAGTTTATAATTTATGGGATATTATTATGGATGTCAAATATGAATTGATATATAATTATATCCACAAACATAAAATAAATTTTATATGTTAATTCTCTGGCCTTATTATAATCTTTGTGTCTGAACACTGTGGTTTAGTTTTCGAACTTTATGCGATTCTATTTAACACCCACATTTTCTAATATACTACCTTTTTCCCATTTTTTTTTATTGTTAAATAAATGAGCCCATATCTTTTATCACACAGGAACATTTATATCAGTGGCCCCTACAACAGGGAGGGGGGTCTGAAGCAACTGCTTCTAAAAATTTATGTGGGTATTTTTTATTTTAAAATATTTTTTTTTGTTTTGCTACATCCATCCATAATCAAGTCATCTCTAGTTTATGAATATAATAATAAGACCCCCCCCCCCAGCCCCACTTATTATTTAATTTAATATGTATTGTCGGAAATTTTGGTTGATGTTTAGTAAATTAGTTGTTATCCAAGATTTCTTGTCATAAAATAATTTTCCCAATTTCAAAATATGCCAAAAAATATTAACCAAAAAAATAAAAATGCTTAATTAAAAATTACACATCACATAATATAAGAGATGATAAATGGACAGACCACATTAGAAAAAGACATGGTGGCCTTAATTTTAACGAATAAAGAAAAGCTTTGTAATAGTAGCTTTTTTCCATATTATAATTTATGATACCCCAGAAAGAATGTGTGGACAATAACCGTTCTATTATAAGAATAATAATACGATGTCTAGGTTATTTAATATCTCGTAACCAAGCCTTCTGGGGAAACGGTAACAAGAAGGCAATATGATGGGCCTTAATAAACTAATTGCAGATTCCGAACCTGTTGTCAAAATGTATTTACAACAAATAGAAGAAAAAAGAAGGGAGAAATAAAATAAGGGATTAAAATCTAAATTATATTCAAATCTATTATCATGTAATAACATTAATATTCAAATTGAAACCATGAAAAATATAAAATAATTCAAAAGGAGATTGAATTTAACAGGTGCTTAGTAAGATTTATTGAAAATAACGAGAGGCATAACCCTGTTAAAAGACTGATAGACATATATTGTACAGGAAATACAACTGGTCTCAATATTAAAAATAATATAATATCCAAACTTGGCTCCATGAATCTACCCCTCGAATTCCTAGTTGGGCAAAACTATGATGGGCCTCAAACATGAGTGGAAGAATCAATGGAGTGCAGACTTTGATTAGCGCGGTAGCCTCAAAGGCAGCTTTTATTTGGTGCTATTGTCATCGATTAAATTTAATCATTGTTAAATCATGCCAATCAATTAAAGAACTCAGAAATGTTTTAGGAATATTAGATGAGATTTTTGTATATTTTAATGGCGATAAAAGATATGAGGTGCCCAAAGCATAGAGTAATGTACTGACAAAATAGCAACGATTTCTATGCATCAAAAATACCACTCAGTAATATGATCTTATTTGTTTAGATTTAAAATGTTTATTAATAGAAAAATTTTATTTTATTTTGTGTTTTGGATAATATTGCTGATAACAAGCTTGGCTTGTACAAAATTACAAACAATTTCGAAGGATATATGGTTTGCAATAAATCAAATTCAATTGGCAAAATATTGCCTGATTAATTTGAGAAATATAATTTAAATTGTCATTGTTTTTTAATCCTAATTGATAATAACACTGGATTTTTGTATGTTTTTTCAAAAGCACAAGATTTTATGAAGGAGAGAAATCTACCTTTTCATTTTGAAAGTTCTAGATTTCAAACATTCCAATCCAAAAAGGAGAGGTATATACTTTCATCATTTTTATTTTAGCTTTAAAACCAGTGTTTTATGCTGCACTTATTTTTGATTTGATTATTATGCAGTATGAAAGATTTAATGATGGATCAATGAAATTTTTAAATCAAACATCATTTTTTACACCGAATGGCGGAAAAGTCAATTGTTGAAGATAATATCGAGGATATATGTAAATTTTATCATTTAAATTTAAGTCAAATTTTTGAAGAACGAAATATTTATAAGACGGCTAAAACAGGGGAGTAAATATTACTTGTGACATAGAGGTTAAAGAGTCTAAAGTAGATTCTGAGAATTGTGAATTTATTTAATTAAAATATTTATACTAATACATTATTTAACTTCTTCTTCTGATGATGATGATAATAATTCTGTGACTTATGATTCAGATTGGACAAACTATTCTTCTATTTTACCTTAGCGTCTACTTTAAAATTTTTCTGCTTTCTCTAATTTAACAATTTTATATAAATATTTTTTAACCATTCCTACTACCTCATGTACTGCCGAAAAGGTCATGAGTAAGATTAAATTAATTAAAACAAGATTTCGTAGCACCATCATGAAAGATCCATTTTTCAATAATTTAACCACTTTATCAATGGAAAAAAATTTATTTAAACAATTAAATATTGATGAAATTTCTTTCGCTTTCTCTTCCCCTAATTTATCTAAATTATTAATTTAAAAAAAATATTTTTAAGTATATATTTTTTATATTTTATTTATATTATGTATTAAACTTTTGATTATGGGTGTCAAAAAATAATTAACTATATTTTCGAGGGGGGGGGGTACTTTTCAGGGGGGGGGCATTTCTTCCATCCCTCAGAAAGTGTAGGGGCCACTGCTTTATATGCAATTTCACATGGTAATATAATAGCCATTGATCCAGTGTTGTTAAACGGCTCGTTTTGAGCCGATTTTTAAAAACGGCTAACTCAATATTTTAGCCAGAAAAATATTGGCTAAGTCTCGAGATTTCGCTAATAGTTGTCCAAACCTTTGTTCCTCCTACAAACAAAATCTTCATGTTTGAGTAATATTATTCTGGATGAAATATTGAGTGCCGTTTAACAACACTACATTGATCTAGACGCAATGCATTTGATAATATTATTGACATCCATCTAATGATTATGATACCACGTGACCTGCTTAAATTAGGCATATCTAGCACAATATATTATTCCTTACGAATATGTAAGCCAAATTATATTGTTAATTTATATAATCAAATAAGTAAGTATGATGTAGATAAATTAAAAACATAATAGCTTAATTTAATATGTTTCTTCAATTAATGTATTTTGTGTAAAAGCGTGTTTTTTGGTTTTTAACTTTTATTTTACTAACTAGATATATATCAAATTCTTAGATATAACTTGCCATCCTAGTTTAAACTATTAATTTTTACTTTGCTTCTATTTATGTAAGTGAAAATTTAGCATCATAATTATGAAAACTAACTCTTATTTTAATTAATTTTTTTTATATTTTTCAACATAGAAGGGGAGGATATTAACTTTAAAACATATAAATTAGCAACAAAATAAAAATGCTACAGCTTCTATCACCATGTTCCTTACGTAGAATAGTGAATGAGCAATGGTTAACAAATAACTTACCATGTTATTGGAACACACTTAGGCATACAATAAAGCATATTTAAAATATATTTTTAAATGCTATCACTATCAAAATCATGTAGTTTTGAATCTAGAGAATTATATGTGCTTTTGGTGAAATGGCAGAATGATCTGAAAAAACTTCTTTTCAGAAGAAGATACCTTACTAGACTTGATAATAGCCCTATTTGCATTAAAATATTTCAAAAATTAATTATACAAGTATTTTATGCAATCTCTTTCAAAAAAATGATAATGATTTAATTAACATCATGATATTGTACAAAGTATTGTATTAGTGTTAAAGAAATTAGGTCAAATGTTTAACTGATTTATAAAAATGGCTAAAATCAAGATTTTTAATATCCAATCCTTGAGAGTTCACTAAAAAAGACATTATAGTTTGCTGGCTAAATTATTAATTTAGTAGTTTTTTAAAAATTGGCAGAATCAAGGTGTGCAATAATAACCTTTTGAATAATTTTTTTATATCAAATCAATGAAAAGATATTTTCTTACAGATCTAAGTCTTTTACTAATATGTTAAAAGGATTATATATTTTGATATATCTATTAGTATTTGCACAAATTAAGAGAATTTTCTTCTTTAAGAAGAGTCACAACTAGATACCAAATACTAGTGTTATTGATTTTTCCAATTAAAAAGAAAATGAATAAATCAATATTTTAGCCAATCAAATATAACATAAGGTTCCAGATTCCATTAAAAGATGGTCACTTTTTGCCATATTTTGATGAAATCTTGAGGGCTAAATAATATTTCTTTGGCTATATGGTCATTCCATGTCTGAGCAGGAAAATCGAGATTTTTGGCTAACCCTTTTCAGATTAGATAAAAATTTATAAGCTATTATTTATGTCTAGTAATATTGCCAAATTTTAATTCATTAGTAATTATTAGTGCTGTAAAGATTTCTAAAAAAATTGAACACTTTCAACTTTCATCGACAAAAATCGAACACTCTTACGTTCACTTTCAAAAAAAAGGAATACGTCCGCGTTCACATTCATGATCATGAACCGTTCAAAATTTTATGATAAATTTTTTTTAAAATTTAATCTAATATAAATGTCTTATATTTTTTAAACACGATATATTAGCCATGTTAAAAAATAATAGTTTTATTTTGATAATATAATTATAAATACAATATAATATAAAAAATTTTTCTTATTAATTTTTAATAACAATTATTTTTCAAAATTCTCATCTGATAGGCAGGAATGCTTGGCAGTTAATATGGCATTATCTATATTGCACTCTAAATGGGCAGATGAGGGGATCACGGTATTATGCTTAATAAACATCTCTTTTAATGTGGGGAATTTATTGTTTTGTTTTTTGTTTCAAAAAATTGAGATAAGTTATCCTCCTCTAATCCATTCTCTACTTCCTGGATAAAGAAAAGGATATCTCGTAATAAACAGTTCTTAGATTATTATTTCTAGGATTTTCAATGCATTTTTTTTCAGTAACGCTATAAGTTTATTTTTTATAGTTCATTCTGTGGAAGTTTTATCTATGGCGATTGAAGCTTGAATACTGAGTATAATTGCAGTAAATATATTATATATATTTAAATCTTTAAAAAAATAAAATATATGTTTAATTTGAGAATAATAGGTTTAATACCTTTTATATCCCATTTAATACTGCGTCTATTAATGGTTGACCTTATTTGAGGCCACTAATTTTTTTTAATTTTAAAATAACTATCTTTATTGTTGGGGTCAAATAGCCCAAATGCATTTTTTCTTCAAATTTAATGATTTTACTTAGTTATATTATATAAAGTAAAATAATTAATATTACAATTAAATGTCTTTTTAAATTGTAACTTGAAGATTTTGACACTGATATAATACTTTTTGGGCACATTTTACACTTGGTAAGCATTGAATTAGTTCCTTCAATATAGGATGTCACTGTAAAACATTTATCATATTTGGCCATGGTAATGTTAATTCATCTGATTTTGGATTTTCAGAATCAGGTGATGATGTTGAAATAATACATGCTTATGCTAATCTATTAAATTAAAATATAAACAATAATATTCAAATTAATAAACTATAATAATGGCTTGTTAAAAAAATTGAAATGTGAAAAAGGAAATATTAAAAAAATATTTTTTTAAAAAAAATTCTGATATTAAATTTTTCAAATAAATAAAAATAACAAGTTAAAATTGAACGAACATTAAAATCGAACGCCTTCGTCATAAAAAAGGTACGCGTTCACGTTCAAATTTCGTCAAAAATAAAAGGAACGCCGTTCATCATTTTTTTCAAAAAAACGAACTTCGTTTTTCGTTTACAACACTAGTAATTATATAATGAGATAGATTTAAAAGTATAAAAATCGGCTTTTTCATCGTTTACTTATGTTAATTAGTTTTAAATTAAAAACTATGATTCGAATATTCAATCTGTATTGATAACTAAGAATTTATAAAGGGGGAAACATCAAAATTAAATTTTTTTTATATTGGTTATCTTATGTCCAGTATAAAATATAAAATTAATATTTTAAAAATCAATTTTTTTCCTTCTATTATTTAATTACCCTTTTTCTAATAATTTCTTCAATAATAAATGCTGCTGAAATTATTTCAAAAATATCTCAATCTCAAAATATAAAAATGGGCCCGATATATATGAACATTTCAATGCAATAAAAGTCTTATAATATCGTTAAAAATCATTTTAGGGCATTATAATCAGAGTTAGCGCGCTATCTTTTTTGGTAGCTATAGCTTACTTTTTTTGTAATTATTTAATTTTTTAACGCGCTTTTTTTTGGAAAAAAATATAATGAAGGTAAGTATAAACTGAAAATTTAAATATAATATAATTAATTATAATTTTTATGATTTATTATTTAATTTTGAAATTGAAATATATTTTTAATTTGTAATTTATATTTTAATTTGTATTATAAACCTTGTTAATAATTTAAAATGTCATCGCCTATGGATATCCAAATCGTTGAAAGTGATTCAGACAATGATATTAATGAAATGGAAGATACCAGGGAAAAAAATGTTCTTAATAGCTATAATACAAATTTCCCATTGCCTAGATTTGAATTTTTTTTAAAATAAATATATAATCCAAAACTGGCTTTAAATTTATTTGCATAAAATGTAAAAAAAAATATTTCCTCAAATCAATCAGTAGCTATAACCTCAAGAAACACCTAAAGGTAAATTGCCATTTTTACATTCTAATAATATTTATTTTATAAGACTCTTCATGAGTTTTAAGGAAATTGAGAAACATCTAAATAATTTTGGTATAGGCGACTCTACATCCAAAAAGACTAATTCAATTCAAACCAAATTAATTAATAATGCAAATGACAATATTTCTCAGAAATTGGTTGATAATGTTATTGTTGATATAATTTATACAGTTCAGCCAATGTCCTTGGTTGATAATCCATCATTTACCATGATGATTAAAACTATCCCCTGGTACAACGATTTTATGCCGCCAGACACTAATGAATAAAATAGCAGATAGGGTTAAAATGATGAAAGATTCTCTAATAGTAGAGTTATCAGTCATATATATGTACCACGGGAGATAGTTGGACACATAACAGAAGGTAAAAACTTATTTATATTTATAAATTGATCTGATTAAATATTTTTGAGCTTATTTGGGAATCACAAGCCTTTGGCGACCCTAGGACTTTAAAAAGAAGGTCTGTGGCATTAGTCCTCAAAATGATAATAGGATACGATGTACTTGCAAATAAAATTATTGATAATCTATCTTATTTAAAAATATGTATATAAGATTAAATACGCCCTTACCCTCAAGTGCTAGTCGAGAGATTATTTAGTAAGGCAAAGCAAAACTTATACTGATCGTCGCTCTAAACTTGGGGATGATAATATTGAAATGATTTTATTATTAAAATGCAACAAATTACCATAAATATTTATTTTTATTACATAAATTTTTTTATAATCAAAACTAACTATATTTTAATATTTATAAATGTTGATTTTTATATATTTACTATACAATAACATTATAGGCAAAAGCTACTTTTAAAAAATAGTAGCTAATAGCGAGCTATTTTTTTGACAAATAGCGATAGCGGTAGTGCGCTACTTTTTTTGACAAATAGCGGTAGTTCACTACTTTTAAAAGTAGCGTTTAACAACTCTGATTATAATGGATTAACGAATATCGTGCATATTGAATTTTTTTAAAAAAAATTTATTTATTCTAAAATATTGTATGCAGGTCTCTGACATATATAACGTGCCTACAAATTATTTCTTTCAATCATTCTCATAAGATACTCGTCAATTATTATTTTCCAATCACATTATATCTTTAAAATATATTGTTGAACCTATAGTTATTTTAATTTAAACCGCGATTTATATGAAGTGAATTTCCAGCCCTATTCAAACAACATAATTTTTATATTATATCTCGTTTTTTTGGAGTTTAATGTTAAAGATATGAGCATTGAAGAAGACGATAATATAGATAACACAGATTCAATGATACCAACCTCATTACCTTCTAATGCCAACATTAACCCTAGTAACCACCTCCCTTTAACCCAATCCCAATCACCTGCTCCACTGTTAAACATTCCTCCCATTACGGCAGTATCGTTCTCATCATCTTCTGAACTACAACCACTCAATCATAACCTACAACAAAATCCAACCGGTTCTCTAACACCGGCAGTAGATCAAAACCTGAGCACCTCTCCATCGATGCTACCCGTTTTCGATAACCCGTCCTCTACTTCCGGTTCTAAACCTCCTGGATATTCTGAGTGCCCACCTCCTGATTATGGAACTGCTACGCGACTCCCCTCCTACGAAGAAGCCGAGCGCGTCAAAAGGGAAGCGGTCATTCCGCCTACCGTTCAGCCACAGCTTTATTCGGTTGTGATGGAAGACACCATAGACTCGGGAATGACAACTGGGCGTGAACGCGTTGGTGATATTGCGGACGCGAGGCGGGATCCAGAACCCAGTGCGGCACGCTACAGCGTAACGAACTATTTATATTGATTTAATTTTTTAGAGCGGTTACTTTTTAATAATGTTAGATTTTTTTGGAAATTGTTCCAATCGACATTTCAATGATCCTTTTTTTATTGTCTTTTTCCTCTAACTCACAAAAGGACGGAAAGAAGGAAAGAAATAAATACATAAAATAAAGGAGAAAAGAAAGAAATACAATATGCTAAATACACCTTTTCGATTTGTAGTTAAACATAGTTTTCTTTTTTGAAAATGAGAAATTTTCTCCGGTGTATGACTCTTTAAACATGTTAATATTCTTTAATTTTTTTTAACAAAAATTTTATATTTTGACACGGTTTCCAATTCACAAATCAATAATACGTCATTAGTTGTTGACAAAAACACATTCTTTATCATCGCTAGAAATTAAGAGGCGCATATTCGCGCATTTTATTTTCGCAAATTTTTTTAAACAATATGAACCATGAGCGTCTTGGCAAATACCCAGCCATTTTATTACACGTATAAATAAAAAAGCATTTTTTTTATAAAATGTGCGTATTTGCGCATTGTTCTAATTGCCCGCGCGAAGATAAAGGTTTATATCGGCTATAAAAATCAATAAAGTATTTGAACTGCGTATTGGCTTTCATACATAAGCGTTTACGAAATTTATTTTGATTAAGAAAATGGAATTTTTTTAAAAAAATATCTGTTTAACGTGAGCGAAAGAATGTAAATATGTTATGAAAAATGTATAATTATATATTAAAAAAAATTACATGATTTTATTATCATTTTTTTTAAACCGACAATGATTATCGATTTAATTTTTGCATGCTTATCACTAATTATTTATTAATTTATATTTCATTTTTTTTTGAATTCCGGGAGTTTTTACTTGATCACATTTTGTTTAAAAAATTATGATTCGTAAAATAATGTTAAATGATTAAAGTATTCAGGTACTATATTAAAATTGAAAGTGCATGTCTACCTAATAAACAATAAGGGATTTAAATGAAGGTACAGTACTTAATTATGTCTACCTAATAAACAATAAGGGATTTAAATGAAGGTACAATACTTAATTATTGTAGACAGAACCCCCCCCCCCCCCCCACACACACACACACACACACACCCCTCAAGAACTTCCCGTTAAAAACAATTTTTTATAATACTCAGTAATTTGAAGACCCCTTATTTACAAAAAAAATTTGGCATAGGCCCTCCCGTGTGAGGATACCTCGGATTATAGGGTTCTTTCGCTTTCAAAAAAATACCCTTAAAAACGGGTTGACAAAAAAAACTTCAATAAGCGTTTGACGATTTTTTTTATCGCCTCAAATTTTGAACAAATTTTTCGATCAACAAATATGAATATTTATTTTATAAGATTTACTCATAAAATTCTTTTATGTTAACCTTAATGACTCGGTTTTTTTTAAAGTTGCTCTTTCGTGAAATTGACAGAAGCGGAGTTAAAAGCCTATAGGCCTGCTCTGAGCGCGAATCTGGGGTTCAGACCCGGGGTTCTATTAATCTAAGACTCAGCTAGGACTGAACTAGTGCCGCTAAATTGCCTATCTTTGGCAAACTCTAATACGGCTCATCCAAGTTTTTAACTTATAAGCATGTCTTAAACAAGGGAGAAAGATAAGTCCCAGCTTAAAGATTGAGATTAATTTAAAAACTTTGGCCAAAAATAAATAATTTTAACACTAAACGCGTCAAGGGGTTTTCCCCTCTTTCACTCCCCTTTTTAAATAGTACCATATCATAAACATAATTTATAAATTGCGGAGTTAGTTAAAGTCAGGTGATTTAAAACACTAAACGTTACTAGACTTTTCCCTCTCTTTCACTCTTCTTTCTAAATAGTACCGTATCATATAAATATAAAATAAGATAATCTTTTATATATTTTATATACGATATAACATTTATATAATAATTTTTTGATCTCACAAAAAATTTAAGATATTTCCTTTTAGTCTGATGAGCCAAGATTGGCGGAGCACTACTCAAGATTTGATCGGTTCCGACACGGCATTCTTGACAAGCTTTTTAAGTTTATTTAATTTAGTTAATATTTTTTTTCCACATTCACTAAAATCTATCTTGAAACCTTGCAAGCCAGCTCGAAACCGGGTTGGGGCCTAAATTGTTAAATATTTCAGGCCGGGCTCGGGATGACACAAAGATAAAATTGCATTCCTATCCCATATTTTGGAGAATCAAATGTGGATCCTAATTTGATAGATAATCTACAAAACCTGTAAATGTGCCCTTTAAAAATTCCGATTTCTGGGAAATTATAGATTATAATCACGGTAAATTAAATGACATATTTATATTATAAATGACCAATATTTTTTTTTTTTAATGATGTAGTAAATATATACATTTTTTAAAAATTAGTGATGATATATATAATTATTTTTAATTAAAGTCAGTATGAAATTATTATTTGTTTGGTATAATCAATAAGAAATCAGTAGTAAATATAAAAGTTGTCGGTTCAATCAGTTATGATATTTATGTTTTCTATTTAGATAAATAGTGAGGGAAAGATTGGCGAGACAAATAAAAAGTACAATTATTTCTGGCGAGGTAGTAATGATGGCAGAGTTATTGGTGTATTAGTTCAGAGAAATGGGTGGAAGAAGTAATAGAGGTAAAAAGATTGGATTATAATATTTGGTAGGAGACTATTCACAGAAGTAACGAAAGATAGATTCATTTTGGGTTAGTCGATTGTAGGTTATATCAAAACTATCTAATAACGAGGATTATGATTGGCCATGAACTGGCAAGGATAAGTGAATAGTGAGGCGTATGAAGGAGTCCATAGGTAATTTAGCTTTGGCCTGAAAAATTCTAGATTTTGGTGATGATATGAAAATGGTTTGAGATATAGTGTTTATGAAAGAACCAAAGAAGCTGGTGATTAGTGAGATGTGATAGGTGTATAGTGAAGAATGTTAGTGATACTGGAGGGAGGGGAAAATGCGTAGAGCACCAATCTGATTGTTGGAGATCTTATATTTAAAGGCATGAGGATCGCTTATATTAACCCATTAATGGTCAATTTTCTAGTGGATAAAAATGCTCAATTTTTTCAAATTATATTAATTAATGCTCAAATATGATATTCTAAAAAAATCAGTCAAAAAAATAATCCTAAATAGAAAATCTAGCCTGGTGCATATATGCACCGTTAACCATTTGATAGGACTACACTGGCGATAAGAGATTCTGAAGTTACTCAAGCATCAGGTGTAGATGACAAATGTGACAAGAAAGCCTGGTAGGAAGTAACTGAGGTATGCGGATGGACAGAAGGGGACATGATGGTAGAATTTGGAGGTGGCTAAACTTGTGAACGAAAAACAGAGTTTTAAAAGATGTTATGATAGTAAAGAGGATAGCGATATAAATATACAAAAGAACAGTTAAATACCAAGAAATTAATGAGAAATAAGATAAAAGCTAGGGGTTCGAAAAAGACGTGGAGTGCATGGAAAGAAGAAGAAATATGTTCCGGATTGCAAAGCGGATGACAAAAAAAGGACAGGATGTGGTAGGTGTCTGGAGAATATGGATGGAAAAAATGATCGATGGTAACGGAATAAAGAATAGCTACAAAACTTACAAGGGAAAACTAATTGAATGAAGATGATGAATGGGAGAATGAATTTAACTGCACAAAGGTAGAAGGTTGTGGCACGGTGGCAAAAAATTCCAGGACTGGCCTGCGGGCCCAATTTTTTAAAAATGGTTATGAAGAAATCTCAAAATAAAAATATTAGTTTTATTCTCTATTAATGTTATGAATTAAATTTAAATATTTAGCAATATCTTTGATGATATAATGATGCTTATTTATTTAATAACATAATTAATATTGTGAAAATCAAAGTATTGTCTTGCTCTATATATGTCTATAAAAGTTTAATTATTTGCCTGTGTAGATGTTTCAAGGACTTCTTCCATCCTTTTGGTCTACTGATGTGGATCGATTTAGCCTGAGTTGGCGACTTCTTTAGTTACTCTATCTTGTGGGCAGCATTTTAAGCTTTGTTCGCTACCGTTGGTATATGTAGGGTTAGTATTGTTAAACGATTCAGCCGAGTTGGCTTAACCACGACTCAATTCGAGTTTTTAGCCGAAAAATCGATTCAAAACTTGATTAGTCGACTTGTTTTTACAACTCGAGTCATGAACTCAAGTCGCGACTCGAGTTCTGAACTTGAGTCGTGAACTCAAATTGTTACTCGAGTTTTGAACTTGAGTTGTGAACTCAATAGGTTAACTTAAATTTTATGAAACTCGCTTACTTATATTAGTGTTGTTATTTGGGTGGTTAATCCAGATCCAAGGCTTGGATCTAAAAATCGACTAAACCAGCTATAAGCACAAACCCGAGGTTCAGACCAATATATTTTAAGTTGTTTTTTCTTGACCTTATTAAAGTATATAAATATATGGTTAATAAAGGTATCAATCGATAGCTAATTATATATATTGAATAGGTAATGATCAAACGCCTCATCTCAATGGGCGAAGCTATTATTACTGGGTTCAGGAAAAATTTAATTAGCACCAAATATTGATATGAGGATGGATGGGTATCAAATAATCCTAGCTCTACCTTAATATGGTGTATATGAGTACGACCTGGGGAGGGGGGTAACATGTAATTGATTGTGAAAATATATTTTCGAGCATCGAATAGCTCTTAATGGACGGGTCTAGATTTAACATTAAACAAAGACCGATTTAGGGGCTACCCATTAAATCTGATATATATGGACCGGGCGGGTTCTAAACTCTCAGAAAATCGGTTTCCGATTAAGTACATGTTATCAAAATTTCCGTTAAATAAATTTAAAATTCCTGACTCCGAATTCGGGTTTCGAACCCATATTTGGCAGTCCAGATATTTTTCTTTTAATGTATTAAAAATAAAATGTTAAATTTATAATATCATATGATTAAAATTATTTTTTTTTAAAATCTATTTTGAGCACTTTTCTTATTCTTATGCATAATCAATCTTCAGATTCCTTGTTCTCTATTCACTACTCTCATTTGTCTCCATCATCATACTCAGGGCAGTCGTCTTCGGGTCACGTGTTCAAAACTCGAGTGGCGACTTGAGTTCAGAACTCGAGTATTAAAAATAAATCGATAACTCGTGTCGAGTTTTGAGTAGAATTATTGCGACTTCGACTCAGAGTCAGGAGAACTTGACTATAAAACAACACTATAGGGTCATTCGTGTTGTTTTGAGGTGAGTATGCATCGAGCTCTGGTTGCTTGTTTTTGAAGAATATGACCCTGAGACATTCTACATCTTGCCATATTTTGCAGGAGTATCTTGGGTTAATGATTGATTAAGGTCTGGGTTTGATACCAGGTGGGGAGGAGGTGTGGATGTCCGTAGATTAGGTGACGTGCTATTGTTTTGTTTTGGGATGACGGTGGGAAACAAAATTTTGAAATTGGAGCAGTTTAAGCTATACGTCATGTTAATCGAATTCAATGGGTGGCGATGTCTACTGAGTTGTCAGAATTCTTCATTTCCATAAATTCATTGTCTACCTTTCCCGAACTCAGGAATGGGCGTGAGTATTGGTTTATGATCTGATACTGGTTTTGTCTTCGTCATAGTCTGCAAAATTTTTTGATAGCAATCTCTTCCAAAAATCATTATTTGAGATTGATCATTATATTACAGCACTTATAAATCCTTTTTGTTCTAATTCTCTGTATATCACATGACTATCTTTGTGGATAGCGTTATTTAGGCTTGGGATAACTGATTAAGGTTTTTCTACCTATCATATAGATGCTTTCGCCGGTATATATCCCCCCATCAACATTTATACCATAAATTTGTACTGCCATTAAGTATGTTTAATATATTTCTCTTCCATTGGATAGCTTTTTGAATTGTTAATTTGGTCTCCTTTTAGGTTTTTTATCTCTGGAATAAACGTGATCGCTGGTCTGTTGATGGGTATAAGTTGCTTGATTTGTCCAGATTTTGGAAATATATGCTTTGGGTAATTGTTTATTGCCTGTTGTCGGCCATATACATAGAACCATTTTACTCAATATAGACCACATTGACTTATCATTAAATCGTTTAGAGTTCAACACGTTGGGGATATTCAATGTGCTAGTTAGACGTCTGCGAAGTGATTTTTTCGCGGCCGAGCCCGAGTTTACATTTTTTGTCCGAACCCAAGCATACATTTTTAGATCCAACCCGACGAGCCCGACTAAATTTTTTTTTTATAATTTGAGTTAAATACAATTGAAAATTTGTGTATTTATTCACCTGTTGTCACCTTAAATAAAAGTATATTTAACTTCCATAATCTAATAAATATTCATATAACGTTGCATTTTATTAAATGAGACCTGCAGAAGTAATCATTTGCACGGCCCGGCCCAATTTTTTTTCAAAAATGTTTTCGGCCCAGCCCGAGGTTTATATTTGCAGGCCCGGTCCTGATTTTTTTAAAATATATTATATTTATTTTTGATTTTTATAGCTAAATAGCGATTTCAAATATTTGGTTTTAAAATATACGGCCCGGCCCTAAAAAAATTTCAGGTCCGGCCCGGGTATTTTTTTAAAAAAAATTTCAGACTCGGCCCGGGTATATTTAAAAAAAAGGTCTCTGATTTGTATACATTTAAATTTTATTCAGTTTAAATATAAATTAAAGTTAAAATTAGGGCTGTGCCGATCCACATATTTTCACCGATCCGATCCGATCCGATATTTTCCGATATTGTTTCAAAACCGATCCGATATTTTTACTGATTTTTAATCACCCCTGTTTAAACCAAATGTAATTAAGAAATCAATATTTTTTATGCAAAAAATCGAATTATGAATTTAATTTAATTTTTTTATTTCTACAATTAAGACTATAATAAAAAAAATTAATATTTAATAATATATCCATTTTATGTTGAAATTATAAAATTGTATTATTTAATATATAAAATTATAATATATTAGATTTTTTTAATAAATATTAGAACCTCTAG